AACCGCTAGACGAAGAGACTCGCGGAACGGATTATTTTCGTCTTGCGAGGCACCACTGTATAAGAAGACCCCCAATTTTAAACTTAAAAAAATTGGGGGAAAATATAGTCTTATACACGGAAAAATACAGTAATTGAATAGAGCCCAAACATGTTTACCCCCAGTTTTAGAATGAGCTTTCAACTCTTGTTTTGCATAGGGTGGGATACCTATTTCAATTCTGTTATTCTGTTATTCCAAAAATGTATAAAGCCCACATTTCTAGAAATTTGCTTTCTTGAATATTTATTCCAGCTGTTGCTTGGTGTGCCAGTTTAAATACCAATGCTGATTCCCACGTTTTTTTCTTAACTACTCTGGGATGGAAAGTGGGTTTTTATTTTTTCTAGTATAAAATGTTTTCATTTACTTTTTCTTATTTAAAATATTTACGGATCACCCTTCAGTAGGGCTTCCCCAAAAGAAGATAATAACCATCTTATTAGTAGATATAATCAGCCATCAACTGAGTGTGGTTTTTGGTTTGAAGCTCAATAATACAATTTGTGTACTTGCTATCTGTCCTGCCTGCACTATCAAACACAATTGCTAGTATCAACCAATAAATTATTGTCAAAACCTGTCAGGCATCAAACAACAAAATTCAGTGTAGCTGGATGTCAAAAGCAGCCATCAAATATTCAGCCACTTAGAGAATAGCGGGAGAGTATTTGAGAAAAGCATTCACTAGTTAGAATTCGGAAGGGATAATTTTGTCTCAGCACACATTGCGGTGCAGAGCACTTCTGTTCAGGCTTCCAGCCAGCGATGTGCTTTCCAGAATAATTCATTCCGTTCTCCCTGTCCGTAGTTTTCCTTTTTCTTCCCTAAACAGTCAAGCAGTATTCTGCACCTACTGAGCATGCTAATTCCTCCCCATTGGGCTGTTTTGGGTACTTCCGCAAATCTTGGAGTCCCCACACACCCATTTATCCATCCCTCTTCTGGCTGGATGGCATTGTTTTGGCTGCACAAGAATGCACACTTGAAGAATGTGTTCCCTGTTAGAACATGGGATACCATGGAAATAACTTGATGAACCCACAAGGGCTTATATATCCATAATGGGAACGGGTGGCGCTGTGGTCTAAACCGCTGAGCCTCTTGGGCTTGCCGATCGGAAGGTCAGCAGTTCAAATCCCCGTGACGGAGTGAGCGCCTGTTGTTTGGTCCCAGCTCCTGCCAACCTAGCAGTTTGAAAGCACACCAGCGCAAGTACAGTAGTACCTCGGGTTACAGACGCTTCAGGTTACAGACTCTGCTAACCCAGAAATAGTACCTCGGGTTAAGAACTTTGCTTCAGGATGACAGCAGGAGGCTCCATTAGCTAAAGTGGTACTTCAGGTTAAGAATAGTTTCAGGTTAAGAACGGACCTCCAGAATGAATTAAGTTCTTAACCAGAGGTGGGAAGGTAAACGGTGTTTCCGTGCGCTTTGGTTTCTGTCACAGTGCCCCGTTGCACCAGAAGCGGTTTAGTCCTGCTGGCCATATGACCTGGAAAGCTGTCTGTGGACAACGCCAGCTCCCTCAGCCTGAAAGCGAGATGAGCGCCACAACCCCATAGTCGCCTTTGACTGGACTTACCCGTCCAGGGGTCCTTTACCTTTTTACCTTCATATATAAAGGTAAAGGGACCCCTGACCATTAGGTCTAGTTGTGACCGACTCTGGGGTTGTGGCGCTCATCTCACTTTATTGGCCGAGGGAGCCGGCGTACAGCTTCCGGGTCATGTGGCCAGCACAACTAAGCTGCTTCTGGCCAACCAGAGCAGCGCACGGAAACGCCGTTTACCTTCCCGCCAGAGCGGTACCTATTTATCTACTTGCACTTTGACGTGCTTTTGAACTGCTAGGTTGGCAGGAGCAGGGACCGAGCAACAGGAGCTCACCCCGTCGTGGGGATTCGAACCGCCGACCTTCTGATTGGCAAGTCCTAGGCGCAGTGGTTTAACCCACAGCGCCACCTGCGTCCCTTTACCTTCATATAGAATAATAGAATTGTTGAGTTGGAAGGTACCACAACGGTCCTCTAAGCAGGAATCCTTTGCCCAACGTGAGGCTCGAACCTACAGCCCTGAGATTAATGTCATGCCCGAAGTATCCATGTGTAAGCCGGACTCTGTTGAGGATTCTAAAAGTTTCCCCAGCGACAGGCAGAGGAAGATGGGGTGTGTGAGAAGTGCACACAGTTGCGGGTGCACACACACTCTCAGAGACATTAATCCCTGGCCACCTTTCTGTTGTTACTTGCTTATCTTTCTTTTGGCAGCTAATTGTCCCTCATTCTCTCCACCGCAGCCTCTAGGGAAAATTAGCCATTAAAATGAAAGATAATATAAGCAAACAACCCAGGGAGAGTAGACAGCCAACAGCGCCTGCTCTCAAGTGTGTTCAGTCGTTATTGTCATGGAATTCTACTCAATGTTGATCCAGAGCAGAACTCCGATGTATACTTAGCAGAGTAAAAACTTAATAGACCAGAGGCAATTGTCTGTCATCCATCAGAGCTTTACTGCTACTGAAGGCAAATGAGAGCAATGGTCACAAATCCAATACATTCAGGATTGGCACCGTCCGTAAGAAATCCAGTTCCGAGACAATACCTACAAAAGATGACTGGCTACACAAATTAAGCGAATTTCTAGAAATGGCAAAGCGAACTATAAGTATAAGAATGCAGTCAAAACTTAGACAAGAATGGCAATTTTTTGAAGAATATATGGATAAACACTGTTCAAAAAAGAATATGCTGATATGTTTAGATTAAAGGAGTAAAGTGGAACAGAAACCATTAATAAGTCATGTCATAAAGAGATCAAAATATAAAACTTAAAAGATTGCAAAGTTTTATACGAAATTCAAAATATATAGTAGTCGAGGTGTGGTGGAGGGAAGCGGTGGGGTGGGGTATGGGTAGTCACGGAGTGGGAATGACTTTTGTTTGTGTAAATAGCAATTTATTTTTGTCTTATCTATGTATTTCCTTTTCTCTCTTTTTTGTTTTGTTTTATTATTTCCCCCTGTACCATTAAAATTCAATAAAATTAAAAAAGAAATTAAAATAAAAAAAGAAATCCAGTTGCAGTAGACTTAATTTAAACTTACAATAACTTATAAGAAGTCTAAACCTTAACACTCAGCATACTATGTACAGAACACCACACCAGAAGGAAGAGAGACAGAAAGAGAAAGTGAAACCGAGGCTCCTTCTGGCCTATTATTTTAGTCAGCATGACCTTGGCAGAAAGAGAGGACAGAACCAGTTTTAACCAGCTGTACTCAGCTTCTCTGAAGGAGTAACCCAAACTTCACAAACCTTCTGCTTGCTTCTTTCATGCAGAGAAGCTTCCAGAACCCTCTTGAGTGAATTAGAATAGGAAATATCTCTACACATCAGATCAATGCTTTCTGCACTAAGAAATGCGAACTGATCTCTGTTATTGTTATTAGCGATGACCATTTTAGGTCCAAATGACATGTCATCGCCATTAGGCGAGTCCTTTTGGACCCGGAAGAACAGAGGCAGAATTATGCACACACTGCTGACAGGTGTGGGGACCCAGAAACAGACCCCCGTGCGAAATGGTTGCCGCCTAGATCATTAATATACCGCCCTCCGTCCGAAGATGGCAGGGCGGTTCGCAGCAAACCTGTTTCTGGCTTAGGAATTTTTAGTCATTTGGAGCCAGGTTGCTTTTGAAATGGGGAATGCATAAGCAGGATCTGAAACATATATTTTATTGCAACCAAGTTCAGATAATAACGAAATTTAATTTATTTATAATCAAGTAACAATAATTGAAATAGTAATTGAAAATGAAATGGGCAGCATCTCTCTGTCTGAAATGCTGAATTCATTTCTAACCAAGCCGGATGTAACACATAGTCTTTCAATTCTCTTGATTTCTCGCTTTTCAAATCTTAATTTCAGTCCTTCGCATTTCCACTTCAGTTTGATTTTTTAAAATGTCCTCATTAAAATTCACCAGCACTTAAGATACACATTTTTTTACTGTCATATACCCATTTCTGTAAAACATATTTGTCTTTGTTTGTATGCTTTCACAGTTAATATGCATTTTTACTCACACTTTACGTCAGTTGTATGCATTTTTGTACACATTACTCCGCTGGAGAATGGCAGAATTAAGAGAAGTGCAAATCTCGAAGGATTGTTGAGTTTCCGTTTACATGCAGTTTCAGGAAACTGCACATTAGGTAGATGTGCCTTTTGATGTGAATCGAATCAAATTTCTCTGTCTCCTCTCCTGCCACATCCCTACCCCAAACCGGTTTTCTCCTTGAGGGGGAAAAAGATACAGGGACCACATACAGTATCTTCCAGCCGCAGGCTGAAAAAAGAGCTTGGGGAGTGATTTTGAGCAGGGAAATGGCCGGAAGGGTAAGGGTTAAGCGGACCCTCCCTCATGCTGTACCTCTGATCCCAATCACTGTATCCGGAAGCTTCCCTGCCTTCCACACCCATTTTCCCCCTTTTAATAGTAGTAGTAATATGATTTATTATTTATACCCCGCCCATCTGGCTGGGTTTCCCCAGCCACTCTGGGCGACGCCCAACAAAGTAGTAGTAGTAGTAATAATAATAATAATTAATAATAATTAATAATAATAATAATAATAATAATAGAGCGATAAAACACCAAACATTAAAAACTTCCCTAAACAGGACTGCCTTCAGATACTGTAAGAAAAGTGGACATCTCCTGTTTCTCCTTTAGTTTAGCCCTGAGCTGGCCGCAGAAACCTAGCAAAACTTGTATGTTAATGTTTCCTGGATTGAGGGCCCAAATGCATTCTCGCTTCTTGCCAACCCCTGTCAAATAGTGGAGTCTGTGAAAGTTGCTCTTGAGAGGGCTAGAGTCAGGATTTTTTGTCCCATTTTCCAGCTAAAGCTACACCCCACCTCGCTATTTTCCAGTACTAGCCCTGGATTCCAGAACTGGCTCATATTAAGCTCTCCTTCCCACCCCCCTCCTGCTGACTCCAGGCAGGCAACGCTAAGCTTCTCCTTGAGAGCCTTCTTATTTTTAGTTCCTTCTCTTTTGTGTCTGCCTCCCTTTGGACAGCCTTCCTCGAGGCTCCTTCAGAGCCAGCGAATCATCCCTTTTGCAGCAAAGACCTGCTTGATTTCTGACTGCGCTCCCTGTCAAAGGCTGGGAGAGGCTCTGATCTTTCTGGGGATGCTGCTCTGAGCAAGTGGGCTGTGTGTTTGTGTGAGAGCGGCATGTGTGAGTAATTCTTCCAATCCCCTTTCCTTTACACAGTTCACAACACACCCTCTCTTTCCCCCCCAACCTCACCCTTTTGGCTCTGGAAAGTGCTGATGAGTTTTCCCAAGCTCCGCAGGCACCCATATTTAAAATTTGGAGAGCTCTATCAACCACACACACATGCTTTTGGTTTAATTTGAGGGACAGGGCCGTGGGTTTGTTAGGCATCCACAGAAACATAACCCCGTAGGTCTCCAGCATCCACAGTGTTGGAAGGACAAAGGGTTCGCGGGGCTTTGTTGGTTTGTTGGTTTATTTACATGTGCCTCTCTAATCCACCCCCCTCCTTCGCCCTTTTGCCACCCGCCCACCGTGCAGGCTCACGAGCGACTGGAGGAGACAAAGCTGGAAGCCGTGAGGGACAACAATCTGGAGCTGGTCCAGGAGATACTCAAAGACATCACTCGCATCGCTCAGCAAGACAGCACAGCCGCCGAACTGGCTCGCATCCTCCAGGAGCCCCACTTCCAGGTAGGAATCAAATGGCGAAACTTACCAGAAGACTAAGAAATCAAGATAACAAAACTTTTCATAAAAGAATGGAAATGGTTTCTTGAATATTTACAGATAAATTGTAAACCGAAACATGAGCATTGCAATAACCTGCAGTTTTATAAGAGTGTATGTTTACAGTAGACAATTAAACGAGCAAGTTAAATGAATTTGGATCTTAAAAAAATAATTTTTAGGAACCGCAGAAAGAGGGGGAAGGAAGTCAAATTTTGAAATGTTAGATTGGTTGTAAAACTAATGAAATGTATAAACTTGAAAAGTATGAAGAAAAAATTAAAATCAGCAACAACAACAACAACTTCCCGATACAAGGCTGCCTTCAGATGTCTTCTAAAAGTTGTGAAGTTTTTTATCTGAAGGGAGCCTCACTTCGAGGTGGGAGGCAGCTGTCTCTCAAGATCCGGGGAGTGAGAAAAAGGTGTCACTTCCATACCTGAACTGGGATAATTGATTTCGTATGGACCCTGGAGCCCGGGGCTTGTTGCAAGTAGCCCAGGAAGGAGGACAGACAATTCACGAAGGGCTCGTTTCTCATAAGGAGGTGTCAGCAGCAATCCCAGCGCATATCAGCTTGGTCTGTGTGTGACATACACAGAGAGAAAAGTGTCAGGAGAAGTGTCCTTTTGCACAAAGACCCACAGGGCCAGGATATTAATAAGGAACATCTGTGGATGTGCCCTGTTTGGCAGCTGGAGTTGGGGGGAGGGTGCCGACTTGGCGATGGATAAAGCTTTCTGCTTCATGCCAGGCCTAGGGGCGAGGCGCCTTTGCTCAACAACATGCAACAGCAAGATGTATTTTATTTTTTTTCCATGTGTATAGGAAAGACATGGTTTATGTCCTCTTTTTTGCAGAGACACCTGAGGCATCTGGCTTAATGCTGTTGGTTTATTTGCTTGTTTCCTTATTGCATTTGCATCTGGTCTTTCTTCTGTATGGGTTATGTGGCGACACACCAGGAGTTCCCAGGTGTTTTCCCACTTAGGAACTGACCAGATGAATACCTGCTTAGCTTCAGCAAATTTGCTGGATCGTGTAACTTCAGACTGTTGGTGTATATACGCAAAGTATAGATTCTCTGTGCTAGTGTTGCCTCTCTGTATCTATGTCTAAGGTGCCATGAGGGAGGGGTTTAAATTCTCGCAAGGATTTGCCTGTCTTGTTTTAACTGGTAGGTTTATGCATCATCATCATCATCATCATCATCATCATTTATTTATACCTGCCCATCTGGCTGGGTTTCCCCAGCCACTCTGAGTGGCTCCCAACAGAATATTAAAAACACAATAAAACATCAAAGATTAAGAACTTCCCTAAACAGGGCTGCCTTCAGTTTTCACAGGAAACTGAAGTAGAAGCTTATTAACAGTGAAAGTTTCATTTATTGCCCACCCCAGTTAAAAGCTTAAGACAATATTTAAACAGCCTTGGCCCTGTATACCTGAAAGAGCATCTCTACCCCAATCGTTCAGCCCAGACACTGAAGTCCAACTCCGAGGGCCTTCTGGCGGTTCCCTCACTGTGAGAAGTGAGGTTACAGGGAACCAGGCAAAGGGCCTCGGTAGTGGTGCCCGCCCTGTGGAACGCCCTCCCATCAGATGTCAGGGAAATACATAACTATCTGACTTTTAGAAGACATCTGAAGGCAGCCCTATTTAGAAGTTTTTAATGTTTGATGTTTTAACGTGTTTTTAATATTCTGTTGGGAGCTGCCCAGAGTGGTTGGGGAAACCCAGCCAGATGAGTGGGGTAATAATAATAATAATAATAATAATAATAATAATAATAATAATAATAAATTTAATAGTCAGGTATCAGAAGCCAAGTTGTAATACACTTGGAATGCTGCTCTTTAGATTCCGCCCACCTCCCAATGTCATTCAGATGTTTGATCCCACCTCCGTCTAAAGAGTTCAAGGTGACATTATCTCTGCTGTAATCCTGTGGGCTCAGAGAGAATGAATGACCCACAATTACCCAGTGACCTTCATGACTAAGTGGGGATTTGAAGCCTGGTCCACTCCCTAGTCCCAGCTTGATAGGCACCTCTACACCTGTTGTACTATATATCTAACCATTGATATATGGCTTAATAGTTCCCCAGGGCGCTGTGCGTTTGTGTATGTTCTTGCTGGACTGAATCTAGCAATTTCGGAAATCACCGTGGAAGAGATCCTATTCTGATCAAGAACATACCATAATTTTTCGTCTATAAGACACCCCCATGTATAAGACCCCCCCTATTTTGGAGGACTCAGATTTAAGAAAATGGAGGGGATGTATCTGTGTATAAGACACCCCTTGATTTTTGACATTCTGGGTACGGCTTGGAAGATTTGCCCCTGCTTCCAGTGTTGTGACTAGGGACTTTAAGGTCTCTGGACACAGGCCCATGGCACAAATTTGCACAAATTTTCATATTAGCTGCAGAGGGGTTATAGCTCAGTGGTCGAGCACCTGTTTATGTGCACGCAGAAGGTCCTGGGTTCATTCATGGGCATCTCCCAGTGGGAATGTCTGAATCCCTGGAGAGCTGCTGTGAGTCAGTGTAGCCAGTGCTGAGCTAGATGGACCAAGGGTTTGACTCAGCATAGGGCAGTTTCTTAGGCTTCCTATATGAAGGGATGCCTCTAGGCAAGCCACCACTGTGCTTTCTGGGGGTATCATGAGTGTGCTGTTTGGAGAGCAAGGCCTGGAGATCCAGGACCTACTGCAAAAGACTTGATCCTCATGACCCCCCGTAACGAGGCCCGTTCCCCTCCTTTACGTTTTACTTAATCTGTCTCTGGTCTCAGCTGAGCGAATCTTTCTGCTGTCTCCTTTTTCCCACCCCTGCCGCGCCCCTTTCTCAGTCCCTCTTGGAAACCCACGATTCCGTTGCCTCCAAGAGCTACGAGACGCCACCACCCAGTCCAGTCCTGGACCCCATGTTCAACAACCAGCCGGTGCCACCAGATGCCGTGCGCATGGTGGGGATTCGTAAGACTGCTGGGGAGCACCTGGTGAGTAAAGTCTTTTTCCACTGTCATTGGCCTCACCATATTTTAGTTTAAAAGCCAGTGTACTGAGCAGACCTGTAACTAACTAGCGAACGAACTAACTAACTAACTAACTAACTAACCAGCCAACCAACTAACTAACTAACTAACTAACTAACTAACTAACTAAATAACCAGCCAATTAACCAACCAACCAACCAACCAACTAACCAGTGCTGAATTTATGTATAAGCTAAACAAGCTATAGCTTAGGGCCCCACTCCCTTGGGGGCCCCAAAAAAAATTAAAGGAAAAAACCTGGATGTAGATTTCCAAAATATAAGATATAAAACAAATGAAATAAAACCTACATACAACAACAGTGTTTTGTGTTGTGTAGGCTCCTGTTTGTTATGTGCAAATGGCTTTAGATACCTATGAGGTCCAAAAATTACCATATAGCATATATTCAACATAAAAAGCAGCGACAATTTGTTGTTGACAAAGGACAGCTGGACATATAAAGGGCCCCATTTCCTTCAGTAGCTTAGGGCCTTGTCAAACCTAAATCTGGCCCTGTAACCCACCAACTAATCAACTAACCAAACAACCTGTCACTTACCGTATTTCTCGCTCTATAAGACGCACCCGACCATAAGACACACCTAGTTTTTAGAGGAGGAAAACAAGAAAAAATATATATTCTGAATCAAATGTTGTTGAAGAGGCTTCGCAGCAATCCCTCTTGCTGTTCATTGCTTCAGCGATAGCTGCACAGCCTGCATTCACTCCATAAGACACACACACATTTCCCCTTACTTTTTAGGAGGGAAAAGGTGCGCCTTATAGAGCGAAAAATACGGTGCATAGCAGTAGGGTAGCCCAGGTGGAACAGCTGCTTCAGCCTGCCTCACGGTTGGGCTGGACCTGTCTCCATTACCCATAACTGCTTTGCATTGACTCTGCGCTCTTGCTGGTTTCTCTTCCCTCAGGGTGTGACGTTCCGGGTGGAGCGTGGCGAGCTTGTCATTGCCCGCATCCTGCATGGTGGCATGATTGACCAGCAGGGGCTGCTGCATGTGGGTGACATCATCAAGGAGGTGAATGGGCAGGAGGTGGGCAGTGACCCGCGGGCATTGCAAGAGGTGCTGAAAAACGCCAGCGGAAGCGTCGTACTCAAGATCCTGCCCAGTTACCAGGAGCCACACCCACCTCGCCAGGTAGGAGGCGCCATCATTTAGTTACTTGTCTCCCCTGTGCTAAATAAGGTCTTGCTAATTGCCCCCCCCCCACCTCTGCCTGGAACAAAGATAAAATGTGATCGTCATCTCTTGACTGAAACAGGCAGGCTTTCCACTTTATTCTTTCATTTCTTTCCCCACTCCTTTCTTTCTTCTCTCTTCCTTTCAGAAAGATTCCCCATCCTAAAATCATCATGATTACGCTGTCGGCTGATTAAAGAATTCATCAATTATTTATCTATTTTCTTTTTTTGGATATTATCAGAACATCCGTACTGGTGCCTTTCTGAGCTGCTGGGGGGAAGTCTATGATAACGTCCCAAAGCTCTTTTTCCAAAAAGGAAAGGCTGTCCGCCGTGTTTTCTTCTGCATTCTCTGTGGCAGGAGGAGCACACTGAGAGCTAAAATAGCCCATGAAAACAAACAAGTTACGTCCTCTTAACTTGCAGGGCCACCAATTTAAATTTGGCCACCACCACTAGCTAATCAACAAAACGTTGAGTCAGTACTGATTAAACATTTGAAAGCTCAAAGTGCTTTTAAAAGCCCCCCTGTTTTCGATAGCTGCATGTTTGGCATAGGCTGATAATTATTTAGGTCATTGGAAATTGCCGGATAAGAAGACTCTGTAAGAGCTGAGCATGGAGACTTTCTTGGCATTTGCAAGTGCTGCTCAGATGCTCTCGTGTTCATAGCGGGCGCCTACAAGAGAGCCACGAAGGACCCTTTATGGCCCTCCAGCACTATCTGCAGCCTTATAGCATGAATATCCCCCCATGTGACTGTTTTGAACGCTGTGATGCTGTTAACTACTGTGATATTTTTTTGCTGAAAGATTCAGAACAGATAAAAGAAAGTACTTCTCCATGCAGCACATAGGAAGCAGTGATGGCCACCAACTTGGATGGATGGCTTTGAAAGAGGATTAGACAAAATCATGGAGGAGAGGGCTATCGATGGCTACTAGCGGGTGGCACTGTTGTCTAAACCACCAAGCCTCTTGGGCTTGCCGATCGGAAGGTCGGTGGTTTGAATCCCCACAATGGGGTGAGCTCCCATTGCTCTGCCCCAGCTCCTGCCAACCTAGCAGTTGAAAGCATGCCAGTGCAAGTAGATAAATAGGTACTGCTCTGGTGGGAAGGTAAATGGTGTTTCCTTGCGCTCTGGCTTCTGTCACAGTGTCCCGTTGTGCAGAAGTGGTTTAGTCATGCTGGCCACATGACCTCGAAAGCTGTCTGTGGACAGACGCTTGGCCTGAAAGTGAGATGGACTACTGCAATGCACTCTACGTGGGGCTACCTTTGAAGGTGACCCGGAAACTGCAATTAATCCAGAATGCGGCAGCTAGACTGGTGACAGGGAGTGGCCACCGGGGCCACATAACACCGGTCCTGAGAGATATGCATTGGTTCCCAGTACATTTCCGAGCACAATTCAAAGTGTTGGTGCTGACCTTTAAAGCCCTAAACGGCCTCGGTCCTGTATACCTGAAGGAGTGTCTCCAACCCCCATCATTCAGCCCAGAGGTCCAGCACCCAGGGCCTTCTGGCGGTTCCCTCATTGCGAGAAGTGAAGTTACAGGGAACCAGGCAGAGGGCCTTCTCGGTAGTGGCGCCCGCCCTGTGGAACTCCCTCCCATCAGATGTCAAGGAAATAAGCAGCTATTTTAGAGTGCCTGGCGTGCTCTGGTCCATGGGGTCTTGAAGAGTCGGACACGACTAAACAACAACAACTATCTTTAAAAGACATCTGAAGGCAGCCCTGTTTAGAGGAGTTTTTATTGTTAAATGCTGTATTGTTTTTAACACTCGATTGTGAGCCGTCCAGAGTGGTTGGGGAAACTCGGCCAGATGGGCGGGGTATAGATAATAAATTATTATTCTTATTATGAGTGCCTCAACCCCATAGTCGCCTTTGACTGGACTTAACCATCCAGGGGTCCTTTACCTTTTACCTTTTTACTAGCCACAATGGCTATGCGGTGCCGCCACAGTTGGAGGCAACCATGTTTCTGAATACCAGTTGCTGGAAACCGCAGGAGGGAAGAGCGGCGTTCTTCTGCTCTCATCCCGCTTGCTGTTTCCCACACGGTGAGAACAGGATGCTGGGGCAGATGGGCCTGATCCTGCAGGCTCTTCTTAATGTTCTTACGCTAACTTCCGCAAGCTGCCCAGCTTTCTGTTTGCAGCTGTTGCCAGTGATTTCTTCATTTTGTTTTATGTAATTCTGTATTGGGAAAGTTGGCCAAACTTTCTATATGCTGTATCTAAAACGAGCCGTCGCCAGGGAGGTCATCTGGGGAACAACCATCAGTCTCAACCGAGGATGGGTAATAGGTTCTGACAGGCAGGCAACAGAGTGGAATGAAATTCAGCACCTTGGTCAGCGCACTTTGGAGTCAGAGACAAGATTTTGCATTTGCAAGCAGTGCTCCCTCAGCAAACTGAAGTCTTGCCCCAGCGCCAGTCCGAAGCCTAGTGACAACTGATATAGTCTTGTTCTTTAGTCAGGGGTGCAAAAATGCCAGGTTTCACCTCCCTGGAGGAACTCCGTCTTCAACCGAAGGGGCCACAGGCTGCAGTGTCTTTTGTCTCCCTGGAATTTGCACGCTTTATCATCATTATCATTTTTTAATTTGTATACCGTCTTTCTATCTTGCAATACTCAAGGCGGTTTACAAGCTGAAGAAACAAAAAAATGTACATCTCATAACAATCTAATGCAATACAAAAATGTGGTAATAAAACTTTAAAATAGGCAACCTACGTCAAAAAAGTAACACTCAACAATCATTAGAACCGTATTAAATAATAATAACATATAAAAGTTAAGCAGTTGCAATAAATAATTTCTAAAGTATAATCAATAAAACAAGAGCAAGCCACAGTACATAAAATAGGTAAAGGTAAAGGGACTCCTGACCATTAGGTCCAGTCGTGGCCGACTCTGGGGTTTTGGCGCTCACCTTGCTTTACTGGCAGAGGGAGCCAGAGTACAGCTTCCGGGTCATGTGGCCAGCATGACTAAACCGCTTCTGCCAAACCAGGGCAGCACATGGAAAGGCCGTTTACCTTCCCGCCGGAGCGGTACCTCTTTATCTACTTTCACTTTGACCTGCTTTCGAACTGCTAGGTTGGCAGGAGCAGGGACCGAGCAACAGGAACTCACCCCAACGCGGGGATTCGAACCGCGACCTTCTGATCAGCAAGTCCTAGGTTCTGTGGTTTAACCCACAGTGCCACCCGTGTCCCAATAGTACATAAAATAATACAATACAAATTGAGAAGCAGAAACTAGAGGGTGGGGCAAGGCAGGTGGAAGGAGGCCTTGCCTGACAAAGTCTCTCCCCTCACAGTTCTTCCTCCAGGAACAGCTCCCTTATGAGGACTCCTAGGGTCGGAGGGTGGGGTGAGGCAGGTGGAAAGAGGCCTTGCCTGGTGGAGTCTCTCCCCTCACAGTCATGGTAGACAGGGTGTCCAGAGGGAGGTTTTTTTTGGAGAAGAGCTGTTAGTGTTACAGCCTGTAGGCAAGGAAATCTCAGGAGCAGGGGGTGGACTCATCGCAGATCCTTTGGATTTCTCCTCCTGGAAGTACATGCCAAAGTATTTGACACTCTGGCTGCTTCCTGAGATTGTCCAAGGAGAGGATCGCTCCATCTTCCATGACTCTTGGTGCACAAAGCATTTCTCATGTGTCCTGAGTTATGACAGATGGCCTTGCTCAGAGGCTCCTGCTGTCAATCTCACAATGGACTCAGGAGAAGATTTCTTCATAACCAATGCATTGTTGTGTTTGCATCTCAGATTTTCAGCTCGCCTGAGATGGTGTTCAGATTCCAACTTAAAATAAAATAAAATAAAATAGTGAATCTAAGGAACCCTATAGAAACCATCCCCATTCCAGCCACAGTTGAGCACATGGCTCTTCCCTGTATACTCTCTCCCTGTTCCTCACTTTTCTTTGAATTATGATCTGGCAACCATTACTTCTGGCAGCCTTCTTACACAGTTGGACATACCACCTCCTGGTATATCTTCTTAGATGTTCCTAATCCCTATCTATATTTATTTATTTGATGGCCACAGGGGTCGCCAGCCTTTTCGGACCAGGGGGCACATTTTGAATGTTGAGAGTTCTGAGGGCACAAGTCACAAAATGGCTGCTGTGGGGGCACAAAATTAGAATGTGTGCAGTCAGGGCGATGCTTTCCTCATAACTGTATTTCCATATGAGAGGAAGCATAAACTGTTAATTTCTGCCTGGAAAATAAGACAGAAGCAGGGGGGGGGAAAATACATTAAAAAGGAGAAAACAGCAGGCCTTTAAGACCCCAGGAATTCCTCTTGCCTGTTGGCTCAACAATTCACTTATCAACCACAGCTCTGACTTCACTCATTGGTTAAAAAAACTAGCAAGCTAGATCAGCCGGGCTTGCTCATTTAATAATAATAATAATAATAATAATAAATTTTATTTATATCCCGCCCTCCCCAGCCGAAGCTGGGCTCAGGGCGGCTAACAACAATCAAAATAGTCCAACATTCTAAAAACATTCATTATAAAATTAATTAAATCAAATTAAAATCAAATTAATGGCAACCATCAAGCAAAATTCTGTGCAGATTGCCAGGGGAGGGGGTAAGGCTGCGCCGTGACCAAAGGCCTGGTGGAACAGCTCTGTCTTGCAGGCCCTGCGGAAGGATGTCAGGTCCTGCAGGGCCCTAGTCTCTTGTGACAGCGTTCCACCAGATTGGAGCCGCGGCCGAGAAAGGGTATCTGCATATTTTTGTTTCAAAACTTTCTTTCTAGGAGAAAGCTCAAAAGACTGGGGCCGCTGTGCAGGGGTGCAAATGAAGACCCTCATGGGCACAATGGCTCCTACAGGCATGAGGTTGGCAGCCCTTGAATTGCTGCATTGACTAGAACCCTCAATCTTTGCAGATTCCTGTACAAAATTAACACCTCTTGGTTTGATTTCT